TAGAAAAGCTTCCTTATCATGTACAATTATTATCATGTGTTTTTATGCGTTTGTTCTTATAATATGTTTATTATTTAAATAGGTTGGCTCACCAAAAATTTAAGAGACAATCCATTGAAACGGGCATATTGCAATCTGTGCCGTAGTGAATTGCGTGCACATACTGGCGATTTAAAGGCTCACCAAGATACTGATAAGCATAAAGCGAATATGGGCGTGTTTCAGCTGCCAAAAATTACCTCCACTGTATCAGTTACATCTCATGATGAAAAGAAAAAACAAGATACGAAATCGATTGAAATAGCAGTCTACATAGCATGCCATTGCAGCATCAATTCTGTCGATCACTTAGTGGATATTCTAGACAGAATGGGTCTGAAAGTTAAACTTCATCGAAATAAGGGCACTGCAATAATAAAATATGTTATTGCACCTGATCTCCTTTCACAACTCATCGATGACATTGGTGACATGCTATATTCGCTCATCGTAGACGAAACTGATGTGTCCACAATCAAGTACATGTGTATTTTCATCAAATATTTTAGCATTAAAAATAATTGCATCACAATAGATTTCTTAAGTCTATTAGAAGTGGAAAAAGCTGATGCAAATACTTGGTACTCAAAATTAAGTGAATATTTAACAGAAATTGGACTTAAAAAAAATCAAATGAGGGGATTAGGTTCTGACGGAGGCAGTAATTTGTGTGCAAAAAACCAGTCTTTATATGCTTTACTAAAAAAAGATGTGCTGGATCTCTTATTAGTGCATTGCATTTGCCACTTCCTAAATAATGCGGCATCTAGTGCTTCTATCGAATTTCCAGCTACAGTGGAGTACTTGTGCAGTGAAATCTATAACTGGTTTGCTCGAAGTGCTGCACGTAAAGCAGAGTATAAGATTCTTTGGAATATTCTGAACAAATTCAGTGAAGAGAAAGATTTTCATCAGTTTGTCCAAAATTCTGACACTAGATGGTTAGCTCGATACAATGTAGTAAAAGTTTTATTAGAGCACTACGGCGAGTTAAAACTACATTTTTTTGCAGTAGTGCAAAAAAATTAAGATAATTGTTGTAAAGCTCGTGAATTGAATAGCATTCTTCAAGATGACGCCAATATTTTATACCTAAAAATAGTGAAACCTGTCCTATACGAATTAAACAGTATCAATGAAAGCTTTCAGCGAGATAATGCTGACATAGGCCAAGTATACACTGATCTAGTAAATTTAATAAATTTTCTCGAGAGAAAAATCATTAAACCACATCTTACAAGAAAAATAGAAGTTCTCCTTAAAGCTGTAGAAAAAGATGAATCATTCTTACCCGAGCATGAATGTGATTTTGGTACAGAATATTACTATGCTACGATTGAACTTGGAAGTACAGAAGAAGTGAAGAGAGAAGTCCAGCTTCGAGCATTCAAGTACATAAAAAAACTTTGTTTGGAATTAGTGTATCGTCTTCCTGATAATCTAGAGCATTTTAAGAAATTGAAAGTATTTTCACCACAAGAATGTTTGAAAAAATTCAATAGAACCAAATTTAGAGATATTCCTTTTTTGAAAGTGTATGCTCAACTCCAAGATCATGGTATTTTAGAAAACCAGTATAATAAATTAGTTGATGTGGACTGGGAGAAAAAATTGAATCAAAACATAAACGACATGGATCCTTACAAGTTTTGGGCAGAAGTTTTTAATCAAAAAAACGCACCTGGAAAATGCGTATTTAAGGAACTAGCATTATTTGCATTTAATGTCCTTTGTTTGCCTACAAGTAATGCAGTAGCAGAGCGAATTTTTTCGTTGATGAACACAACTAAAACGTGTGACGACCACGTACGTGGTCGCACGAACGCTCGTCTGCTGCACGTTCAGCTGAGCGAGCCGCGGAGCAGACGAGCGCGCCGCTGTAGGCCCCACGTATGTACTCACGTTGCTAGGCAACGCGCGGCCCCCACCGTCGGCGCCCGCCTATATAAACCAGCGAGCCGCGGCGGTAAAGCAGATTCGGCTTCGGCCAAAGCGAGCGATACATCGTGAGCACACGAGGTGAGAAGCTCGATTCTTGATACGTGAGCACACGCATCAAGCCGTGTACGTGAGCACGCGTAACACGATCCTACCTGTCAGTGCGTGAGCCCACGCACCCTCTCCAGCTCTCGTGGGCACACGTGAGCATCCCCGATCCGATCCCCGTTCCGTTCCTCCGTTCCACACCGACCGACCCGAGGCTGTTTATGTGTGACACTTGCACCGTGGATAGAGACTCATACGAACCGATACTCATTTTGTTACAGGTACCGACCGGCCGGTCTCACTCAGCCAAAGGCTAATACGACGCACCCGTGCCTGCTTTGCCTGTCACTTGATTGCTTAGCTATCATTGATTGATCTTTGCTTAATTGTTAATACTGGCTAATCTTTTGTTGCTTTTCTTATTTCTTTTGCAATCACAGTTAATATTTTCTTTTGCTTTCTGCTCTTTTCTAACTAAAGTCAAATCCTTTTGTTTGCTTAATTTATTTGTTATATTTGTAAATAATCAATCGTTAGTTTATTAATAAAACAACAAATACTTGTTACCGAACTTTTACGACTTATCATTATAAGCCCCCACCAGATCCCACAGTTACAAACGAAAATTAGAAATAAAATGACACTTGATTTGTTACGGGCCATTCTTAGAATAAAAGTTCGACTTTACTCAAAAAATAATTGCTGTAAAGATTTTGTTGTAACAAAAACAATGCTTCAAAAGTTTACTTCAACTGTCCTGTATCCATATTCTTATGATCAAAATCAAAACGAAGAGTTGGTGGAAGAAGATATTGAAGTACTAGATTTGTTAACAGCTGAGTTTAATGATGTACTATGTATTCATTTACCAGAATAACTTTGAATCGTTTTGTTACAGCATTTTTAAAGAATAATATGAAATATTCTAAACTTTGTAATCGTTTAATATAAAAAATAAACATTAACATGCGTTTTTATTAAATTGTAGTTATTCAATAGCATTCATTTGGTAATAGTGATAAACTTTTTTTTCTCTACTCGCAGAAAATTAAATAAAAATGTGGCGAAAAAATTGGCTTTTTTAACCAGTCGACTTGGCGGGTTTTGGCTATTATTGAAATGTAGATGGCAGGGCACGACATATCGAGTCTGGCAACCCTTATTCTGGCTTCGAGTGGTACCATATGGTTAAAAACCCATTTGCTTAAACAGATTACAAAATGGTTGAATATAGATTATTAAACATCATTTATAAGCTATAGAGTTATAAGCGATTGAAAATGAAACAAACGCTAATTTCGTGACTTTCGACGACGTGTAAAAATAACATGAAAAAAGAATAATTGACATGTTGTCATATCATGTACAAAGGCTTAAAACTAATTGTGTAATATCGTTAGTTAATCCTTAGAAATCTTGAAAAAAAACTATGAGACTTTATAGAGGGATTTTTGAAGAAAAATAAAAAGCGCTGACAACATCGAAAATATTATATTTTCATGTTATTACGCGGTCGAAAATCACGAAATCAGCGTTTTTCTCATTTTCAATCGCTTATAACTCGATAAATATGCATTTTTGAGAAAAATCACAACCGACATTTTTCTCTTGAAATTTTTCGCAGAACACGAATATGATGTTTAAAAATCCATATTCGACCGTTTTGGTAATTTGTTTAAGCAAATGGGTTTTTAACCATATGGTACCACTCGGAGCCAAAATTAACCACTAAATTCGTGTTCAGCGGGTCAAAATCCGTCGGAAACACATCATTCCAACCATCCACCTATACTTTCCAACAGGAAGCTAGCCCGCTCCCGGACTACTCAGATCTGACAAATTAGAGCTATTCATATACTTATACAGATGTTATAATTTGTTTACTCTACTCCCTCTTATCTGCTCTCATTCAATACTGGACTATATTTCTTCTCATAGAGCCAAATTATATATTTCATATATTAATTTTTTTAATAATGTGCACCATGCTATTACAATTGTTGAATTATTAATTTAAAAAAATTATACCATGAGAAATATTTATCGATACAAACAATTGTCAAAATATCTTATACACTTTGTGAATGTGACATATATTTTTGGTTTTCACTACATTTTTATTGAAATCTCAGATAAATTTCATAATTCTCTTTCATGCATTTTTATGAATTATTTTGAAAGGTTTTTAACTTTCTAGTTGCTTACTAATTCTAAACATTTATAAAACTTCATAAGGTTAAATAAATCTTACTAAAATATTTTTAAACATTAATAAAAATAAAGAATAAAACATTGCAATATTTTCTTTACAAATAACATAAGTCATTCTCAAAAAAACGTTTAATAACTAAGGATTAACATTTACAGTCTGCAATTTTTTGAATTCCTTCAAATTTCATTACTTTGATTTCAATTCAACAACTATCATTGAGTTACTTGAAACAATAATAATAATTCATTGAATATCGTGTTAAAAATGCATATCAAAATATTTTACATTTAATTTGATGCCATAATAATATATTGATTTGAAATGCATAGTTTATTCTACTTTCAAAGGTTTTCATTAGTGATGAGCAATTGTTATATAAGGTCATAACAGAGTAAAACCATTATGTAAATAAAATTAAAAACAGTCAAATTAATTCATTAAACCACTTTTGCCAGAGTATTTATAGATCAATGCACAAGCATAAATAAATTTTTTAAAATGTGGCCTAAATACTTTAAGGGTAAACTATCAATTTACTATTTACCATAGTGATATATTAATAAATTTTGAAGAAAAAAGTTGCAATAGTGACAAAGAACTAGAATTGAAAAAAAATATGATTAAGCCTCTAATTTTTTGTCAAGATTATGGAATGAATTGATTATAGACAATATTCATTTCATTTATATATTAATTTCCATCTTTTATAATATAAATGATTAAAAAAAATAGTAAAAAAATTCATGGCAACTATATCACTTACTTTCTTAATAATGGTAGACATGATTTGGTTAATTTTTTCAGTCAAAGTATATTTAATGTATGATCGTACACTATTTTTCAGTACAATATAAAGTAGTGCTGAAAACAAATCGATGAATTATGATCTAACACAATCAAATAACACTTGGAACTTAACGAGCAGACGAAACACGTAAATGAGGTTCTACAATAAAATTTTGCCGTACTTTTAATGCTATGAGCTAGTGCCAGGCGTGGCGCCACGTGTAGACGTCGAGTTTCCAAATTCCAATTCTAACAATTAGTGTAAAAGTCAGGAATAGTGGAGCTAGGAGTGGTTAACAACTACTACAACTACTATTGGAAAATGTGTAGTAGAAATTATCTTTTTTTTTATTGATTTTCATTTCATGTACAGATTTTACATAAATAGTAGAAAGAGCCAGAGAACAATAATAAACCTCAGTCATGGGTACAATTTAACATAAAAAAGAATATTGTATTAAATTGTTTCGTTGGACAAATACTTGCCTCCAGGTGAAGGACGCCGAGTTGAGCAATTACAGGGGTTTATAGTTCGCATGTAGCGAGTGTTATACCAAGGAGTGTTTTCTCAAATTTAAAAATTACTCGATGACAAAGAAATCAAAAATTAACAAAAAACCCGTCACATCTAATTTGCACAGAAAAAGAGACAGAGTATAATACAGGATTTGACAGAGCTATTACATGCAGTAAATCGAAAACAGCGCTGCGTTCAGGTATAAGGGTTCAGGAATGTGCAGGCTCTCGGTAAATGATGACGCGTGTTGCATTGTGTACACTACATATCCACTAGGGTGGATGGCTGCGGGCTCGTGCTCGTGCTCGGGCTTTTCTCCTTTTTTTGTCCAAAGGTACGGCATCCTTAAGCCACCATGTTTGGTATAAATTTGTTATGCCAAGATGGCACAAAGAGATCGAGCATTAACACAGGCTCTTGTGGTTTAAAAATCAATGGGAAATTTATTTTTTACTCAAAAACGTGGTGTTACGCATGAATTATGGCCGCACGCAGCCACTCTTCGTTCAGCCGGTAGAGGGGGTAAACTTCCGTAAAACCACGTTTTTCGTACTTAATTGTTAATAACTTTTGAACCGTTTGAGTCTCCTACTTGAAATACCTACTTTATGTTTCATTTCAGATATTTTTTAAAAAATCCAGTTGGATAATTTAAAATCAATCATTCCACATGAAAATCTAGCAATTGTTTTAATAAAACAGGGTTTTCATCGGAATATTATGCAAAAGCCTTACAGGATATAAAACCTCGCGAGATTTTTCTTAAGGAAAAATTAATTTTTTTCGTACTTGTTGTGATGACTGTAAAAAGGAGACCACTTCAATTCTAATTGTCAGATACTGACCAACAATTTTTTCATAAAAATGAAGCTCCATATGTTTCGTTTGATTCCATAGGCTCTATATCTTATTTTTAAATAAAATATCTGAATGTAATTATAATCATAGAAAAAAGTAATAAATTATTAATTTCATTTCTCGCGTCTAATTAATTCATATGTGCTTCTGTCAATTTTCAAAAACATAAAATCAAATATTTTCCGACCCTTCGCCCTAATATTATCTCTACGATCTATCTCAAAAGACCTAGAGTTGTTAAAAATTCAGCTTTTTTGACTCTAAAACTGGGAGAAACGTCTAGCGAAATTGGAGGTTATATAGGATGTCACAAAAGTATGGAGACTTCTAGAAATCTCACACAATACGCGTTAAAAAATATTTTCTGAGGGGGAATTCAATGACGATCTTGGATTTGACCTTGAACATAACCTCAAAACTAAAGCGATCCAAAAATCAATTTTTCAAATGGAAATCCCTATTGTTATTTCAGATTTAAAAAGAACGTAAAATTTTACGTTGAAGTATGTATTTTGTTTCTTTTTCAAGGTCATTTTAAGGGCGCTACAGTTAAAAAATATGTAAAATTTTCCGCTCTTTTCAAATCTTTAACAAAAAATCGATTTTTGATTCACTTTGTGACACCCTGTATATCAAAAGCGTGTCGGAATCGGTGAAAAAATTTGCAGATCAAAATTTAAAAGACTACATTGTTTTACTTTGATATAAAACCCATTAAAAACGAAGAACATTGGATCGCAAGGAATTGTTATTCTTAACATGATAACATTATATTGTAAGATCAAACGAGTAAAATTTATAGATGATCTCCCGACGCAGGTCTTTTTTCGAAATTGAAGAAAAGTGGTTCTTTACATAGCAATTATATCAATTTATTATTTACGCTAGTTATAATATCATTTGTATAGCCATCGCATTTATTAAGGTCCGAGCCCATTTAGCAAAGGTCACTTCTTTATCGAGCCTAAGGGCATCTCTACAAAAGGCTTACGCGTCGCAAAGCGCGCCGTGAGACGCGCCGCGGTTAACGCACGCGTAAAGCAGGGTTTCAACTTCGAAAAAAAAATATTATACTAGGTGAAAATCGTAACCACTAAATTGCAAATGTGTGCTGAACGGAAGGAGAAGCAGTTATTTATGTTATAAAAAACTACATCACGAAATTCAAAATAAAATTCAAATATTTTCGATCTACAATTGCATTTTTCATCCTCCTTATAGTAAATGAATGGATTCGTTACAAAATATCATATAATTATCATTAAGTTAATAGTAAACATTGTTAAAATCTATGATCTTTATTATTTTCGGAATTACACAACATAAATAACTGCTTCTCGTTCGGCGTTCCGTTCAGTATACATTTGCAATTTAAAGGTTACGATTTTCTCTTAGTTTAATTTTTTTTTTCGAAGTTGAAACCCTGATTTACGCGTGCGTTACCCGCGTCTCACGGCGCGTTTTGCGACGCGTAAGCCTTATGTAGAGCTGCCCTAAGAGTTGCGCCAGTTGCACGGTTCACCTCATGTACAACTTTAGATCCGCATACACGCGTGTCTCAAGGAAGTTATTGTAGAATATTAACCTCGACATACTCTGTAATTTATGTGGACACAAAAAATTCAATGATATTGATTATAAAGTTCAATTAATTTCAACGCATGGTTATTCTCTTTAGACATTTCGAAATTGGTGTATCGTTTTCGAACTCACGTCATTAATAATAAAAATTCTGTACGTGTAAATAGTGAAAATAAATGTGATCAGTGTAGATGTTTACTTTTTTATTAACTTAAGTTAACATTTGTATTCTAAAAATGCTTTTTGAGTTTTTAAAAAATTTATTCTGGAAAGCTGATGATAACAGTAAAAAGCGGAAAGCTCCTACTTCTGTGCATTACAAATGTGATGTAGAATTAAAAAAACAATGCAGAGGTATTCTGAAAAATAATTATAATCAGACAGAACTTTCATACAATGCTCAACATCTCTCCAGTTGTATGTGCAGCAATTGTGCCAATGTTTGTATTGGTATAAGAAAAGATAGTTCAAGTTTTGACTGCAGTGCAGAAAAATCATTTAAATTTTCCAATAGAACTTTTCATGACACTACAATGTATAATACTAACAGGTTATTAGAGAAACAACAGTATTCTCAAATGCTCAATGAATACATATATGCTCGTGAAATCGGTGCTAATAAAAGTTGTGAGCTTAAGCCAGAAGACAGTGAAATGTTGAAAAATTCACAAATAAATTGTGAATCTGATAAATCATCAACGACTCGTGAATATATAAAGCCAACAAAATTAAAAGGAATTTCACCCAGTAAAGCAAGATATGATTTATCTGCTTTGTCAAATTTAACATATAAAGTTCACCAAGTTGACATTGAAACTAATGTGTCATCAGATAAAAAGAAAACTATGACAAATCTTCCAAATCATAATGGAGTGGAAATTATAAAAATGAATACTTTTCAAGACTATCTACATAATAAAGATGTGGCCAGACAAGATTATCTCCACCAACTTGCCAAACATTACAATGAAAAATTAAATCAGCATTTGGAAGAAGTTGCAGAATTGAAAAAAAAAACTTTAATGCTATCAAAATATAATAAACTTTCCAGAGAAATTTCTTTGGAAGAGCGATTAAATCGATCTATACAACTGTGTGAAACCATTTTAGATGAAGACTATTTCAAAGAAGAACCTAAATATCCTGAACTATCTGATGAAATGTTAAAAAAAGTTAATTCGGCTTTGGCTGATGGTTTTGGAGATGAAGTTCTTGTACAATCATTTGGTCTACAAATCAGAAAAAGAGATATTCAAACATTATCAGGTTTGAATTGGTTAAATGATGAAGTAATTAATTTTTACATGAATTTACTGATTGAACGTGGGAAAAATACTGATTTTCCAAGTGTATATGCAATGAACACTTTTTTTTATCCTAAGCTAGTTGCTGGAGGACATGCATCTTTGAAAAGATGGACAAGAAAAGTAGATTTGTTCTCGAAAGATTTAATTATAATTCCTATTCATTTGGGTATTCATTGGTGTATGTCAATTATTGATTTAAAAAATAAAAAAATTTCATACTATGATAGTATGGGTTCATCGAATCAAAAATGTTTAAATTTATTGAAACAGTATCTACACGACGAAAGTCTTGACAAAAAGAAAAAAACATTTGACTTTACTGGATGGGATTTGAAATGTTTGAAGGATATTCCTCAACAAATGAATGGCAGTGATTGTGGAGTATTTTCTTGTACATTTGCTGAATATGTTTCAGCTAATAAAGAATTTAATTTCAGTCAAGATGATATGCCATACTTCAGAAAAAAAATGATCTATGAAATTCTAACTACAAAATTACTTTAAATTAATGAATCATCTTGTCAATCATCTATATTTTGAATATTGTTCAACGAAAATTATATATTTAAGTTTATTTAACAAATTTTTGTAACAATAAAACTCCAAATTTAAAATTTCATCTATAGTTTTAAAATAATTCTGATAATTGCGAAACATTATATTTTATAAAATGTACATTTGGCTTAAACATTATAGAGTAAAGATTAAAGAATATTTAGAAGCTATCACAATTGTTTTTGATTTATGCTTATTTATTATCTTTGTTCACTTTCAATCAAAAGCAAATTGGTCGCAGAATGATACCTCAGTATATGTTTAGTTCTCAATGTATTTTCCTTAATAAACTAAAATAAGTGGGTATTTTGGTTTTAGATGTGTTCAGATTCTCTATAAACATTTTAGGGAAAAGTAGAATGGTTGGACACTTGTTTTTTTATATTTCTATGTTGAAGTTTTCAATCTTGTTGAAAATGAGGGCAATTGATATTTACATCCTGGGGCTGATCAGGGAGTGCAGTCAGGTGGATCAACATTTGATATAGGTTGAATAAACCCAAAGATGCACTATTCAGTACTATAGTTTTATAGACTAACAAGAAGACCTTACCTCATCCAGCTGGTCACAGATCTTTACCAAAAAGTTTTCAGATCCCACTGGTACCTGAATAAAAATAGCCTCAGAATCAGTCTAAAAATACGTAAGTTTAAATTGTTTAATGATCAAAGGCATCTAAAAACGTCTAGTTTTTGTATGATTTAGTCCTGTGAAAATTGGAGAAATAATATTGATAAATCAGACAAATATTTTGTTTGATTTCAAGACTTTTTTATTTCTTTCCTGAAGTCTTTCTCTTTTGAGATAAGAGATGGCCAAGAATTTTAAAGAGAAAGCAAAACCATTTATAAAATTTTTCCTATAAGGCGGACTAAATTAAGCACTTAAAGGGAGCTTAAATTTTTGAAATTCTCATATTTACAGTGATTGGATTGAAAGGTAAAAAATGTATTTCTTTTAAATTATAGGCATGCCAATTATTTTCAATGATCCATTAGGAAGTATTGTGACCGCCATAAAAACATTTAACTCCCCGACGGAAATTTTTCTCATGAAAAAGTTTTATAAAGTCTAAAAAACTCTAAAAAAGTCTTGAAAAGTCTTACAAATGTTCGGATTTCGTACACCTGATTAATGATTTTAAAGAGTTATTAAGAGTTTTTGAAAATTAATAAAACCTTGTAGAGACTGAATTTTTTAGCAAAAATGTTAAGTTTTTTTTTTCATTTTTTTTATTTTTTCTATATTGTTCATATAGTTGCTTGGATAGTTTTTTCACCATGACTTTTGGCGAGCGTGGATACCGATCAAAAAAGTCTTTAAAAATATTGAAAACTTTCATCAACACTATAAAACTCTTAATAACTCTTCATAACTCTTTATGAAAGTTATTGTAACTTGTAAGCATTTTTTAAAATTCAATAAGCGATTGCCTTATCCGTCTGAATATTTCTATTTATATCATTTAAAACTCTTATAAAGTTTATAACTCTTAAAAATCATGGTACGAAATCCGAACATTTATAAGAATTTTTAAGACTTATTTAGACTTTTGAAGAGTTTTTAAGAGTTTTTAAGAATTAGAGTTGCGTTGAAATTTCCGTAGGGGCTACATCACAAGAGTACAGTTAAGGGCTCTCTATACACACTCAGTCGGTAACGCTAGGCTACCATCCTATTTATGCTAAATTTGAAAAATTGGAAATATTATTCGCAAATAATCGAGTTGACGCACATTTCTAATACACTCATTAACATTGTGGTTGAGTTTTATCCAATTTCATGCATTATTCAAGGAGAAAAACGAAAACTACGAATAATAATAACTTATTAAATAACATTGATCATGATTATTCGTAGTTTTCGTTTTTCTCCTTGAATAATGCATGGAATTGGATAAAACTCAACCACAATGTTAATGAGTGTATTAGAAATGTGCGTCAACTCGATTATTTGCGAATAACATTTCCAATTTTTCAGACTGAACATAAATATAACTAGGTAGCTGGTGTTACCGACTGAGCATTTCACATCGTGTATAGAGGACCCTTAAGCTTTCTTCATGAACTTGGCATGTTTAAGGGTTGCATGTTTAAGGGTTGGCATGTTTAATGTTCTATACACACTCAGTCGATAACAAGTACGTAATTATTTTGTACCCATTTTTTTTATTCTCTGGGCAACCATCGAACTTAAAATTTCGTGGGAGTGATTATGAAACTTATAAAAATGTGCCTCTGGAGCCAGTTTTCAATTAAATGATCGGTACTTTTAAACAAACTTGATTTTCTATTATCCCCCTTTTATAACCTCAAAAGTAACGTATTCTCAAAAAATTAGTTAAAATGATTTTTTTAAACATTTTATTGAAAACTGGCCCCAGAGGCACATTTTTATAAGTTTCATAATCACTCCCACGAAGTTTCAAGTTCAACGGTTGTCTAGAGAATAAAAAAAATGGGTACAAAATAATATCGGTATGTCGGTATTTGTCCCTCTGTATAGAGGAGCCTTAAGGTGCATTCGATTGGTTCTAAACAGCCCTGCAAAAACTTCTCGACATTTGGAAGTAATGTCAGTATATGGTGGGAGAAAATCATGGCTGTTGTAACCAAGGATTCAATGCTTGGACGGCCAGGTTTACCCCCGCNTTTCCCCCCCCCCCCCCCCCCCCGGCAGTGCGTTGGACGATATAACAGTGATAGGGACAGCTATATGTCGGAAAGTTTTTTACAACGCTGCAGGTTATATTCCAAATCAATGTATCACATAACTTGATTTAATTCTGATATGGTTTCATTTTCTTTAATAGACCTTTGGTCACAAATGCAACCACTATAGGGTAGTTGGACCAATCAATTATTGCATAACCGAAAGTGGTAATTTTTCTGGTCGAAAGCGGTCAATCACTGGTCCAAGTATCTTATTGGGCGCGGAGCATTAATCCTGTCCGGTCCAAAAGTGTGGTGAAACGTATATAATTGTAGGAAATTCCGACGTTCTATATAGATTTACCTAGTAAACTATATGAGCCATGAAGTCGCCAGTGATTTCGATTTTAGAATATAAAAAAGATGGTTATTTTAGAATACATAACGATCGAACATCGATAAATTTTAAGTTTGTAAGACTTTGAAGAAATATTTTATTTTTTACATATTTCTAGACAACTTTGAAATAACAATTCCAGTACCTACTTCTATTTTGAAAAATTTCTGACGTAGATTGTAACTTATTAGTTTAATGATCAAATTAGTAAAATCGGAAAATTTTTTTTTGTTATTTCGAGTAAGAATTTTTGTCTCCCTTCCATTGTATTTTTCAAAACTCCAAAATTATGTGATTGCTCACGGATATACATCTGTTTCTGTGTACCTTTTTTGTTTACTTTGTACACACTACTCCTGATAAGGCAAAAATAAATTCCTATCAAACTCTGAAATCTTAATGAAATGAGATTTTCTTTTTTCATACTACTAAATATCGTGTTTTGAATTAACTAGCTGATTTTGACGTGATTCTTCACCAATATTGAATAATGAAGTCTTAAAATGTTCAGAAAAGTTTGTTTTCTTGTCAGTCAGGTTTCAAATAATATATTCGAATAAAGGATTCATGTATTTTTATTTTTTGTAGCTTATGGTATGAAAAAATACTGTATTGTCTATTATAAAGCCCACGTGAAATAGCTAAACTTTAATAAAACTCTTTCGAATTTGGATGTTCGCAGTGAATTCATAATCCCTTTAAATATCATAGTGTTGAAATTTCACTGCGATGGGCGTAAAAATTTAGCCTCCCTTAATTGGAACAATAAATATAATGTATGTTATGAATAAAATTGTACAAAATATTTTACCCTTGAAAAAATTTTCTTTAGGATCCCGCAAAATTCCCACAGGAGTCCTACATGATTCCGTAGGGATTTCGTTAACTCTACATGCAATTTTTTCAAGGATAACTCATATATCAACTATTGAAAAGCTCCCAAAAACAACTAACTTTTCGATGTGATATATCAATTTTATACAACACTTTAATTACTTAAGAAAAATTCTTATTTTCCATCGAAATTGATGCGAAAAAATTCAACTATAAAAGAATAATGTACAATTTCGAAGTAAAGAGGGCTGATCGATGTTAAAAGTTTCAATTCAAAAATAGCTATACAAATCGAAATAGTGGAGATTTTTTTTGTGATAGTAAAATATGTTCATTTTACACCTGATTGACCAAAAAAAACTTCTAAACAAGCTCTAAAATACTATAATTACATCACTCAATGCACATTCGAGTCAAGGAAATCCAATTCATGGTTCTTAAAATTATTGTCCTCTAATTAAAATCGTGTCAAACGCCGAATATTTTTAAAATCTCAGAGGAACGTGTGAACTTCCATTCGTAAAACAAAGAAATTCGTAATTTATAAACAAAGTTACAATAGAATATTTTTATTTATTTATCGATATTTCGATATTTGATATAAAAAACAATATTACTACAAAAGTAAAATGTGCGATTTCGTAGGTGATGCATATTCGTGTCAAGAAAATCCAATTCTTGATTCTCAAAATTATTATTCTACTATTATAATCGTGTCAAACACTGAATATTTTTAAAATCTGATCGGAACTTGTGAATCTTATTCGTATTTATAAACAAAGTTTAAAGTTGATAAACAAACTTCAGTGCGCCAAAATAGGTTAACCGGCAAAGAATAAATATTCACACACTAGAAGTAGGAACAATATCAAATATTATTGTTCACTTATTAATTCATTCATCTTCTATAAATTATTGTCTTCATATAACTTTGCATAAATATTAGGAGAATAATGCGCGTTTAAAAAAATACATTCTTATATGTACTTATTCATATAATTACATGAATACATACTTATTTATGCGTTTATACTCTTGTATGTCAATATTTACATAAAAATAAATATGAATAACATTTTTGAGAATGTTCAAATATCTAAACTTTTGGATGATGGAAACATATCTTGTTTATTTCAAAAGAGGGTTCAAGTCTGTCTTAACTACGGGACTCAGGATTTGAAGATAATCCTTTCATCAGGTAAAATTATTTTTATTAAATAACTGTGTCCATAATAATAAGATGATAAAACATGTTTCTTCTCACTTTAGGTTATATTGAATTTTCAAAATTATGATTGTTGAATCATTACAGGATTTCTATAATTTTAAAAAATATATACTTTTCAAAGAAATCAATAATAAAGCATTATACTTCTTATTTTCTATGATCTAATAACAAAATAATGAAATCTTACAACAAAACATTTTTGACTGCAGAAAGTAATTCTATTGCATCTACTTATTAAAGAAATAATCTGTTACAATTTTTTAAACTTTTTTGGATCAAAACAAGTTTAAAGCATTTCAATAAATCAAATTTAAACAGCTCTGATTTTATTCATAATCTTAACAAAAATTAATGAGATTAATAAGCTATTATATTCTGTAAATTAAATTAATATGACTAAGAAATTTACTTAGATACTTTTTAGAAATTGGTAGCCTTTATCCTTTATAATTGAAATAATTTTCTAGTAATTTTCAATGAACACATACAAAATCTATAGTAAAAATACAAATTTCAAACACTTTCTCTGAGATTGCTGAAATAATAGTATTTATATACTTTTAATGTAAATATTTGATAGAATTATAAAAAGAATACATGGAAAGGTTTATTCTGAGTTCACTACTTTCTTATTGTATAATTAACAAATTTTTAATATACCCATGAAGTTAAAGAAAATTGAATTTTCAAATTTTTTCATACATTGAAAAATTATTCAAAAAAATTCATAAAAGTACTATACCGAAACACAAGGTAAACTCATTTATAAAAATTAACTATTTTGGTTTCATATTTTTTTAAATTGATATTATGAAGTTCATATACTTTAAGTACAAATCAATTAATAATTGCGCCAATTCTCAATGCTCTTGACGTAAGAATAAATATTATTTTAATAATTCCTAGTAATATTTTTAGTTGCCCCTATAAAAATATTTTTAATGAAATCAATGAAATTAAATTATATATTTCAATGTATAATCTCTTATCTTATAGAACTATATACTAGGGTGTCACTTTTTTCCTAAATTGGGGGTGATTACGATATCCGTGGTTCCGCTCATTTATGAATGATTTGATTGTTGCTCTGATGTGCAATAAAATAAAGAAGATACTTGAAGTAAATAACCGAATAAAAATGAGAAACAAAATGAGAAATCACGCACGAAACGACACTACTGGGTTTGTTAGGTTACTTGAGTTATTTGCTCATAGAGTCTCGAGTTCTGGTCAACAAAAAGGGCCATCGAAGGAATTGTGCAAGAACGTACAAGACCTCGTAATAAATGTTGCGAAAGCCACAGATTTCACGAAAACATGCACGTCGGTGGATCGAAGCTGCCCGACGGACGTAACTTTGTATCCCCATAATATATCATCATTCCATATCAGAGCACCGTAAACGAGAACCGAGTCGACGACTATGAGGTAGAGCCTGCGTCAGCTGCTCCTCTGGTCATAAATAAGCATCAAGCCAAGTAGAGCGGCTTTGTCCCTGTCGATTTTCATACGTTGCTCAAATCGTAGTTTGACAATGATGTGTACGTCAAGGTTTCGGATGCAGGAAACCAATATGATATCACGATCTTCAGCTCTGAGAGTAATATTTTCAGACAGTTTTCTGATCGTGACAACAAAACTTCGGTTTTTTGATCGGTGGTTTTCAATCCTAGTTTACCGTGATCATCGTGAACCAGCAGCATAGCCTAAATTGAATTCGAATCGATATCTGTTAGGTTTTTATCAACTATAGTAACTCTCATCTTCTCCAAGGTGGCAAGGATATATTTTCAGCACGCTGAGTTAAATCTTTAAATGTAGGATCACGATGTTGCAGTACTTATTTATGTTACGGCGGTATCTCTTACCACTGATGTCCGCTTTGGTAGTACTGAGTACCTTCTGTATGGCGTTGGTAGTTGACCGTCCTTTGTGGAATCCAAACGGTGAGTCCAGCAGGACCAAGCTTCCAGACGGCCAAAAATGATCCTTTCCAGGATCTTGTCCACGACGCCTAGAAAACACAACAAGTGGTACGACGAGGTCTTCTAGTTAGGTTTGTCTGGCTTTAACATCAAGAAAAGCCGTGGCGTCTTTGAGAGCAAAATCGGGATTCCATTTGGCCCAAGGGCTAGCCAATCTTGCACCCTTCAGTAAGCTCTACGAAGGTCTTGGATGCTAACCTCAGTAATCAGTCCAGCCTCCGTTTACTCAAGGATGTCGATTCAAGAGTCTGCAACTCTTAAAAAGAGAGTGGGGACCCTCTGCCGCACTACTCTGGTTCGTAAGAAGATACACCCCTAAAGCTCTTTAAGCAGGATATAACAGTTTGGCATGGTCGTGGTTTGCCTCATCGCATAGTTTCTTCCAGAAAATACTCTTACTGACCTTTATTCAACTACGTAAATTCCTGCAAGCCTTAGCAAACTCATCTCGACGGATGGCGTGTATGTGTGCACTGAGAGACCTTTTACGGTGCCATACTGATGCGAGTCAATGTTGCCAAGTTTATCGTATGATGACGCACAGAACCAAAAAATTACTTTCACGCGTTGTAATTGTTAGGGCGCTATGCCTCAACAAGATAGAAATTCTCTCATTGAGGCATAGCGCCCTAACAGGTTACAACGCGTGAACGTAATTTTTAGGCTCTGTCCGCCATAATATGATAAAATTGGCCAACATACATTCGAAAAAGCGTGGCACCGTAAAAGGTCTTTCAGTGTGGATGAGGGGGATTAAATTTTTAGCGCGCTTTTATAGGGTACTTATACCAGTGATTGACCGCTTTCGACCAGTAAATGACCACTTTTGGATGTGCAATAATTATCGTTTTCCTTTGTTAAATTATGATCGAACATAGAAAACGAGATGCATCGTTCACTAAAGAATTAAATTACGTCTATACAAATATATTTTTAATTGTTTTTCATATGATATTTTTCAAAATGGTCATTCACTGGTACCCGGTCATTGATTGGTCTGACTACCCTATTATTTATGTTCTTTTATCTTATCTCATGTGTTACGTAGATATTGCCGCGAATGTACGCTCAGTATAGTGTCAGTCGCGCAAAAGTAGTGTATTGTCTATATTATTTTTGTCAAAATTTCGTTCATACTTTTTGTTGTTGCGAAGATTGTTTATCCGAGAAGAGTTGTCAAGTTGAGTTATCCAAAAGGTTTGGGATTGGTAACCCGTGTAAATATGGTTGGAACTTGTAACATGTTGAGAATGTTTCATTTAAGTACTTTATTGAAGTCAAATGTAGCCAAAAATCGACGACATTTTGTCATTTTAAATTGAAAATTCTTTAGAGGTTTCTCCCACCTCGATGTCCTCTTGCTTAACAAAAACTTGGATCAGATAGTCGTTGGCTCGCACGGAAGCTCCGTGGTTGATCTGACCTTCGCCAGTGATACGCTCTCCAGGAAAGTCATATCCTGGCGAGTCAGCAACATCTACACTGGTAATGATCATCGGGCAACTGGTAATGATCGTGAAGCGCGTCTGAAAGTTACTAGTCGTTTATAAAATTGTTACTAATTTCTGTAATCATTCCCTCCACGTTTCCTGAAAGTAAATAGTATTTGAGGTTTGCTTATCGAAGAATGGACGCTCGAAATTGTGTCTGACGTGGAGATTCAGTCAGCCTCGCCTGAAGGTATAATGGGCTAGCTTTTGTCCGCCTTCATGAGGGCTTGCGACGCTTCCATGTCAAGGGTGGAAAGACGTCGGCTTCATGAGTCAGTGTACTGGGCACCACAGAGTGTCGGCAGACTTGTCTCCTAGCGAGTAGACTCGCCCAGCGAGCACGTGGCCGCGTCGATAAAGTCGTTCGTCGAGAGGAGTTCGCCGAGGTTCATAGGCGTCTACGCAATGCATTAAAGCCAGCAGCTGGAGAAAGCTATGCGACGAAGCAGATCCTAACGTGTGGGGTAAACCATTCGGAACGGTCATGTCCTGCTAAAGGGCCCTAGGGGTGTGATTTCTGTCAAACTGGAGCTCGTAAAGCGCGGTCGCTAAAGCGGTTCCCACAATTTTTCGTCTGCTATATATTTCTAGCAAAAATGAATCTATATTTGAAGATTTTGAATTGTCCAACTCCTCGGCGAACTTCATAAGTAAAGGTCCCCATCCTTCGCTTGCTTTGAAAACATCTATTTGGGGGAAAAAATTGACAATTGAGGAATTTTTAATAATCAAATGAACCGATTTCCAGTGTTATATATGTCAAATTGAAGGTCTTGCAAGGACCTACAACTTTTGTTTGAAACTTTTTTTCATAAAATGTACGGTTTTCAATCTGTAGCCGAAAACCCGATTGTCCTAATTTCAAAGGGCCCAATCGTTGAAATTCCAATCGACTCAACTGTGGCATTTGTTAGTACTTCATTCCTACCATCGAATCCTAACGAATCCCGGTGAGAAACTCTGGTTGCGAATTTTTTCACGTTCAAAACTAATTTGACTGGACTATAGTTTCTAATGTTGCGCTCAAATATTACTGGTAAATCGATTTTGACTCAAACTCATTCATAGTATGTATGGATTTGAATAGAAAAAAATTCCAAGATATCAAAAACAAATTCGTCTCGATACTATAAAATTACACGAAGATAAAAGCATTTGAAAACTTACAAAACTTCTATGAAATTTTTTTGCAATAATTTTGTTGCGTAATGAATATTTTTTTAAATTAAAATGTGTAAAATATATTTTTTAGTTTATTAAGAATCATAATTAATAAAATATGTTGATATCCTAATTACTCTATAAAAATTAATGTAAATATGTTTGGTTGCAGAAAAAAAATCGGAATGCAATGGACAATCTCTGCTTGAAATTCCCATCAATAAAGAAACTGAATGTTCAAAAGTTTCTAAAAGAAGTTATATTATTACAGTTGATACAGATAGTTACATTTTATCTTTTAGTAATTTACAAGGTATGTTAATATTTCTATGCAACATAACGTAAGGCTAATGATTTGTTTCATAAAATAAACTGACTCTATTATTATTAAATACACACGTGGTTTATTTATGCAAAAGTCTTCAAAATTAATCATCAATTTTCAGTTGGCCTCGTTACTCATTAATTAATTCGTTAATCTTATTTTATACTTCTATTTTATAATCTACACGCTGCAAAAATTTTTTTTCTTTTGAAATTTGTTCAATTTTCAAATGCTTCTACCTCCATCAATTTAGATCGTATCAAGACAAATTTTTATCAAGTTTTCTTGGAAAATGTTTTTCCTCATTTAAAGCTATGTATGTTTTGAATAGATTCGAGTAAATTTCTAATCACCACTCACATTTAAGCGTCACCAAAAATTACAGAAAAATCGATTGTTTAAACCTATACCAGGACTACACAGTCATTCGTTTATCCTAACTAACATGTACCTTCGCCAAAAACTCTTCCTGATGATTAACTTGAAAAAAAATATTTTATTATCTTTTTACGCCTTGTAGACCGTTTAAAGGTACCATTTAACCCATTAGCGACAGAATGACCTTTTTTTAGACAATTTTGAGTCGGATATCTTTATCGTTTCCAATTTTTCAAAAAACTGTAAAGTTCATGTTTGTGATGTAAAACTTTATGCTGTGTCAGAATCCAGATTCAGAATTTATCTAAAATTTACAGTCAGTCCTAATGAGGCTGCGTATGAAGCTGCGAAAAGTTACTCATTGTATATTTTTAATTGTATATGGGCATAGCCACGTCAAGCGTGATATGTTAAAAACATGAAGTTGAAAATTCTCTTAAAGAGTCCATTGAAAAATGAAAATCCTGAAAGTTTCAGCTCCCTAGGTCCAACCTTTTGGGATCTATAAGGTCTCAAAGTTGGAGTTTGATTTTTCTAATTTTATTCTGATTTCCTAGGGCGAATATGAAAAAATTGTTGAATCATGATTTTTAATGTAAAATTTTATGAGGAATTCAAATTCTTTGTTAAAAATCATAATTATAACCTCAAAACCTATTAATATTGTAATAAAGTGTGAATTTCAAAGACTAAACATGTTCTTATCCAGCGAATAGGCCAATATTGTAACATGTTTATCGATACATCAAAATATAACTTCTGATACATTTTGGTCATCAGTAGACAAACATACTTCATTATTGAGCTTAGGAAGAGTCAAAAACGTGGTTTTTCTAATTTTCCTTGATTTTTGACTTGTATCATGCTCAATTATGAGTCTGTTTGTCTGCCGATGACTAAAATTTATCAGAAAAATGAGGACAAAATATTTCGGTACTGAATACCGACTGAGTGGGTAGGCCTGGCCCTTAAGGTGGCTCTACAGCAACCATAACAATAGTACAGCGAGGCATCTGTCTGTCTCTTTCTTGCATTAGGCAGACAACCGCTCGCACTATTCGAAATCAATGATTTTACGAATCTTTTGTATTATGTGTAGAGCCTCCTTAATTACTAAGCTTTTGTGCATACGTTTTGGAACACCGTCTCATTTCGCTTGCTTGTATAAAATATCATGAAATTCCATCGTATAAAACAAAATCTCTTAATAAATTTTGTTCCGAGTTGGTTAGCCTAAGTTGTTTTAGAATTTTTAGAATATTTGTAATATCTTCGTCTGACTTCGAAAATAATAATATTTTGATTTCTTTTGAATCCACACGCAGTGACATTACATTCTCGTTATAATCCGAATAACAGGCGCTCGAGAGAGAGCATCTATTATGATACATTGAATTCCCTATTAACGATTATTTCAAGATTAAAATTTGTTACCTGCACCACGGCACGAGACCCTTGTGTGCGTATCCCCACTCCACCACTTACTACCGCCGGCTCGCCTACCGTCCAGCGGTATAAAAGGCGGCGCCGATTCGATTCGGCACTCAGTTTCACTCTTGGACTTGCCGGAGTAAGAACTCGTTCGCCCATGAGAGCTTGGCCTAGGGACGTAAATAAACCTGAGTTGAACTAAAATATTCGATCGTATTATTTCTCGCCCCTCTCCAAGCCTCCTCACCCACTTTTGCACTGAGAAGCTTCACTAGCGACCGTTAGGTGGCGAAGCGCCGGTACCCACAAGCAACGTATTCCCGCCGGGGCTTAAGTATCGGCCACTTCGAGCCTCAGTCTTTCGAATTCGGTCGCTCAGCGAGTGTAGCCTTGACCTTCCGGCAGCAACTAACCAGCAAAGCCAAGTCAGATTCGTCACCGCAGCCAAGTCTACGAGATCGACGGAATTTCCAGCCTCCCGTTGCAGAGTTGACTCCCGAACAACATCGGATCTGGGTGACCACTCGACCCACATCGCTCGCCAACTAACAAGTTGGAACTTGTACACGCCAACTCGGCCCCGGTCCTTTTCAGGACCACCTCTCGTACGATCTCGAAAGACCTCGACCTTTTGTCCCAGTTCGATTCGAGCTGTCTTGCAGGTGCAGAGTGTAAACTCTGAAACTTCTTTCGGTTTCAGGCCTTTTCAGGGCTACCATTCGAAAAGTCGTCGGACTTTATTAAAATCCGACACTCTCGCTTAACAAGTTGATACAACATCGATTAAAAAGTACGCATCTCTTCTATCGAATGTGTACGAGGATATATGCGAAGAGCTGCAGAAGAAAGACTCCAAAGCCACACTTCCAGTCTCGATAATGCATCATAGAATTTTGAAGACTCTCGGGTCAGAATATCAATTCTACCGGTCTACATGGTATAGAATACCCGAAGCAGAACAAACGACGAACCTTTTGGTAGAGAATTTAGTGTCTATTGAGAGCTCATTGTCGACAAAAACTCCAACGGTCAGCGCATTTCATGTGAAAAATTCGAACATGTTCAACGGAAAAGGGAGCAAGTTCGTGGCATCGTCGTCGTCGAATTCCGAGAATCGAGAAAAACGCAAATGCCACTACTGCAAAAAACCTGGCCATCTGATGCCGAATTGCAGAAAGAGACAAGCAGCAGATGGTAAAAAGGATTCAAAGAGTAACAACAACAACGACTCAGATTACAAGAATGGAGCAGCTAAAGCAACGTTTCTCGCTACAGGACTAACAGTGAACTCCGATTCGATTTTTGCAGACTCGTGGATAGCAGACTCAGGCGCAACAAACCACATGACGGCAAACAAGCAACACTTCTCTACATTCGAACCTTTTTCAAGTCCAATCAGTGCCGAAGTAGCCAACGGAGACAAGATGCTTGCTTATGGTTGTGGCAGCGCGGATGTAGAAATGCGTGTAAAAGACAAAATAATATTAGTGAGGTTATCAGATCTGTGGTATGTGCCAAACCTCGGACATGAATTATTCTCAGTGCCTCAAGCAACAATGCATGGAAATAAAGTAACTTTTGATGCTGATGGAGTTACAGTAAAATACAACAAGGAAGTTGTCGCAACTGGTGTCCTTATAGGTTCAACTTATATCATGAATATGAACGTGTGTACCTCAAGAAATTCTGTGCAAGCTATCCTATCTAATACTGAGGATGTACTGTAAGGCTGGCATGAACGTCTCGGGCATCAAGATAAACGTCATGTGCGTGATGTGCTCTCCAAACACGGAGTCGCGATAAAATTTGAAGATACCAGATTATTCTGTGTTGGATGTATGATGGGAAAATCACATCGAAAACCTTTTTCGCCTAGGCAAGAACGTGCAAAGAAAGTTGGAGAACTCATTCATTCCGACGTAAACGGGCCTATGTCAGTAAATTCTATACACGGATTTAAATATTACGTCGTGTTCAAAGACGACTTCTCACGCTACACCCGCATATTCTTTATGAAAGAAAAGTCAGAGGTCGCAAATCATCTTAAAACATTCTTGAACGAATGTCGCACTGCTGGACATAAAGCGAAAAGATTTCGATCTGACGGTGGCGGTGAATCCAACTGTGCACGTGTGCGTGAAATGTTAAACAATCAAGGCATCGAAATTAACCTAAGCTGCCCGTTCACACCTGAGCAAAATGGTGTTGCTGAGCAATCGAATAGACATATCGTCGAGCTCACTCGCTCACTGTTGTCAGTCAGCGATATGTCTACATCTTTCTGGGCTAGTGCGTGCGATACAGCGACATATGTAATAAATCGCACAGGTAAATCAAGCATACCTGGTAAGACGCCAATTAAGCTGTGGTCAGAAAAAATATTTGATAGCTTTGACGTTCTTCGCATTTTTGGATCAGAATGTTATGTAAACGTACCTAAACAATTTCGCTCAAAATTCGCCTGTAAAGCCGTTTTTGGTAAATTTATAGGCTACGTTAATGAAAAGGACGGATACAAGGTTTGGATACCATCGAAAAATCGAGTTATGAATTCGCGAAATGTGGACTTTCGTCCAGAGAAATTGTATACGAATTCTAATGAGATCGAGCTTGAAATATATAGACAAAAAGAAGAGGAATATACTACAAAACATGAAGAAAGTTTATATGAGGAATTCTACGATGCCGAATTAGGCAATCTCACCTCGCTATCGCGGGCAAGAGATGAAACCGCGGCACCAAGAAGTACTGCGCCGTCGTGACCCTCGACGAAGAAGAACACGTTTAATTCGGCTCTGTGGAACAACATCCACGCCGCGCTACGCCGGACGCCTGAGCACCTGCTGAGAATAATTAGCAGCTACTTCTCAGCGAGAGTGCTCGACTACGACACGGATGACGGACCAGCGTCCTACAGAGTCACAGCAGGCGTTCCGCAAGGGTCTGCCTTAGGGCCCATCCTGTGGAACGTCATGTACGACGTCGTTCTGCGCCTCAACATCAGAGGCAACGTAAGCATCGTAGGTTTCGCGTACGACATCGCCTTGGTGGCCGTTGCTAAGCACCTGTGGCAGATGGAATACGATCTGAACGCTGCCATCGAGCAGGTGCGAGGCACGCTACATGAGCTCAGCCTTGTAACGTCTGACCATAAGACCGAGGCCCTACTCATCACTAGC